TGCGCGCCGCTTCTCTCAGAACCGTCCACGAGGCGGGGGTGAGGACTGTGTGTGTGTGTGTGTGTGTATGTGTCTGTGTGTGTGTGTCTGTGTGCGTGTGTCCAGGTCTCCACGCCGCGTCACCTGGGCGGCCCGTGCACGTCTCTTTTCGACTTCCTGCGCCGCGCGCGTGGCCGCGACGACCCAAAAAGTGTGCGTGTGTTTGATGATCGCGTGGCCGGGGCCGCGATATCTCCCAGATCTGATGGCCTTCTTCTTCTTCTTCTTTTCAACTGGTTCCCTGCCCCCTTCCTTCTCCGCACACGGGTCTCGGGCCATGGTGTGTTGACCCCCTCTGCTGTGCCCCTCTCTTCGGCGCGCCCGATCTTCCCTCGTGCTCTCTCGGAGGAGCAAGAAGCATCAGAAGCACCAGAAGCATGATGAGCATCAGAAGCATGACTTAGTGGGGGTCTGCGGTGATTTCTTTGGTCGGCGCTGCCCCCCCCACCCCCCCTCCCGTGGGGCCCCCTTGGATCATCTTGGGGTTCTCTGGGGCCGTCTGAGGGTGCTCTTGGGCCGTCTGGTGCATTCGGAGGCCGTCTTGGGGGCCTTTCTGGGCCGTCTCGTGGTTCACTTGAGGCCCTGTAGGGCCGTCTTGGGGGACCCATTATGCCGTCTTGGGGCCCGCTTGGGCCGTTTTGGAGGCCTCTTGGGGCCCTCTTGTGTGCCTCTCTGACCGTCCTTGGGCTGTCGGAAGCTGGAAAGCCGACACAAGAGCCATCTTTGGGAGCATTCCGAGCTCATCTGAGGCTATCTTGGGGCAGCCTGGGAGCAACCTTCGGCCGTCTTGGGGCCAACCTTTCGGCGGCCATCCCGGGCCGTCCTGGGCCGTCTTGGAGACCATGTTGGGTTATCTTGGCCAGCTTGGAGTCGAGTTTTCAGGGCTTTGCGGGCTTTGGGATGGTTTGTGGGTGGCTGCCGGGCTGGGCCAGAGGCCACCAGGAACTCCTTCTTGGAAAGACGAAGAAAATCCATAAAGCTAGGAACGCTAAGCACGTCTTTGTAGGCAGTGTGGGCGGTGGATCGAAGGCGCCTACGGCGGATCTCCGCCGCCTCCCTGCCTTTTGGAAGCGCCTATGTGGCCGAACGTTATGGCCAGAGCTCGACCAAGCTATCATGCTGTATGTTCCCCCAGCCGTTGTGGAAACCCTTGAGGGAACACATGGGGGAGAAAGAATGAGGAGACGGAGAAGGAGGAGGAGGAGGACCAGTGTAAACCCAAGACTAATCAGCGATGTTGCAAGTCACCCTCACTCCAAGTTCTCTCCTCACAGGCCCCATACAAGGGTTCATTTTCATTGCGGGAAGTATTTCGTTGGAAGACGACCGTTTGAAAATCCGACGGCGTCTTGACGATCCTGCATCGTGCCAGAACGCCATTCCTGGGACTTCAACACCGCGAATCAACGTGACTGTTGCGTCCTGATATTCGAGAGAACGTGATCCACCGCCGCTTTACTGTAGAAAATTCCCCCCACTCTTCCTCCGGAACCCGGGGGTCCCCCCCCCTCCCAAAATCCCCCCCCCCTGCTGGAATCATCCCCCCCCCCTTCCCCTCCGCAAAACCCCTCCCTCCCCTAACCCCCCCCCCTCCGGAAAACCGGGGGGGGGGGTCACTACCGGTTCGTACCCCCCCCTCTGCGGAAAACCGGGGGGGGTCACTACCGGCCAGTTCGAACCCCTCCCCCCCCTCCCTCAGAAAACCAGATGGGGGTCGCACCCCCAGTTTTCGAGGGGGGGGTGGGGTGGGGGTCGAACCGGTAGTGACCCCTCCCGGTTTTCGAGAGGGGGGGGTTCGAACCGGTAGTGACCCCCCCATTTTCATAATTGACTGGGGCGGGGGTGGGGTTCGAACCGGTAGTGACCCCCCCCGGTTTTCGAGGGGGAGGGGACGGGTTGGGAACCCCCAGTGACCCCCCCCGGTTTTCCGCCAGCAGCGGTAGAACACGCTCTTTCTCCGACATCGTGTCGAAACATTGTTTCTGGGACGTTAACCATGCGGATACTTGAAACTGCTGCAAACGATTAAGACGAGTGTGCGCGGCGCTGCGGCGAGACCTGCATTTTGAAGAGGACCCGCTCTCCATCCGCGAAACCTTGGCAGACTTTGAGACGAACGCTGCGCTAAGGCGAGAGCCACATTTTGAGATCGGCCCGCCCTCCTTCCGTGAAGCTCGTTGTAAGTTTTCAAGTCGAATGTGTGCGGCGCTAAGGCGAGAGTCGCATTTAGGAAGTAACCCGCCCTCCATCCGTGACATTGTTGCAGATTTTCAGCTTCAGGATCGTACGTGGTAAGGAAGTCTCGGGCGACAAGCCTGGCCTGGCCTTTGCGAAAAGGAGGAGCTATTTAATCGTTTCGCTCATTCCGCCGGCCCGTATTGTGCCATCAGGTGTTTGCCTGCGCGTTCGTGGCCTCTTGGGGCCTCTTGGGGGTCGTTTGGGGGCCTCTTGGGGTCTCTTTTTGGGCCTCTTGGGGGCCTCGTGGGGCCTCGAGGGGGCCTTCAGGGGGCCTCCTGGGCTCTCTTGGTGGCCTCTTGGGATCTCCTGGGGGCCTCTTGGGGCGGGGGCCCGCTTGGGCGACCTTGGGCGCCTCTGGGGCCGTTTTTGGGGCCTTCTTGGACCGTCTTGGGGCCCTCTTGGGGGCCTCTCGGGCCGTCTTGAGGCTTTCTTGGGGGCCTCTGGGGCCATCGTGGAGCGTCGGAAGCCCGAAAACGCGAGTACGCGAAAAACGTGGAAAAATATTAAGAACATCTAGGATTTTTGCTTCTTCTGGCCCTCTTTGGGCTCCTCTTGGAGCGCTCCTGGGGCTTCTTTGGGGCCTCTTGGGCCGTCTTTTGGCCATTTTGGGCGTCCTGGAGCGGTCTTGTCGTGTCCCGGAGGCCTCTCGGACCATCTCGAGGGCCTCTTGGGGGCCTCTGGGCCGCTCTTGAGGCTCTTGGCAGGCCCTGAGGGTGGCGCCCAGTAGCAGAACCATCTCTGATGGTACCTTGCTGGGTGCCTGCCCGGTGTACTTCTCGGCCGCGGACCTCCATGGGCCGCCCCGCACGCGCGAACCCGAAATAGTGGTTGCCAGTTACGGGAGATTTTAGCACGCCTCTGGCAGGCCCGTTGGGCCTACGAATTTATAAGGAAGAGGGATGGGCGGCCTCCTGGGAGCCTCTTGTGGCACTCGTGGGCCTCCTGCGAGCTTCCTGGGGGCCTCTTGGAGGCCTCGTGGTGGCTTCCTTGGGCTTCTTGGAGGCCTTCAGGGCTCCCTGGTAGGCTCTGACGCCGCCGGAAGCCGTCTGGCGGGCCTCTCTGGGCCAACTTGGGGCCTTGTTGGGGCGCTTCAAGGCTGTCTTAGAGGCCGTCTTGTGCGTCTTGGAAGCCTCTTGGGCCGCCTTGGGGCCCTCTTGGGGCCGTCTCGAGGGCCTCTTAGGCCGTCAGCTGGGGCGCTCTGGGGTTACCGCAAATGCCACAATCTGTCAAACACCGTCGGAGAATCTAGGATGTTGGCCTCTTCAGTCGTTCCTGGAAGACCTCTTGGAGGACCTCTTGGAGGCCTCTTGGGCCGTCTTGGAGGCCTCTTGGGGGCCTCTTGGGCCGTCTTGGGCCATCTTGAGGCCATCTTCGGCCGTCTAAGGTACATCTTGGGCCGTCTCGGAGACATCGCGCGGCCATCGAGGGCTTTCTTCAGGCCATCTTGGTTGGCCGTCTTGGAGGCCATCTTGACCATCCTTGAGGCCATCTTGGGGCCGTCTGGGGAAAAACCCACGGGCCGGCTTTTTTTCCCGTTCCCTTCAGGCAAGGTAGATGGCGCGATTGGCCGAGACCCCACAGGGAACCCTTGAACAGTTTTTCAAACCAACCTGAAGTCAAGCACGCCAGGCACCCCTTTGATAAATCAACAGGGGGCGGCGGATTCAAGACGCCTAGGGCGAATCTCCCCCGCCCCCTGCTTTTCGGAAGTGCCTATGTGGCCGAACTTCGCGGCCAGAGTTCGGTCAAGCTATCGGATCACGTGTTCCCCCAGCCGTTGTGGAAATGCTTCGGGGAACTCCGGGGATAATGAATACTACGAAGTTATTAATAATAACAGTATGAGTGATAATGCCAATAGCAAGAAGACGAGTCATAGTATTAACGATACAAAGAAAAACAGGACTGTCCATCTCACACTATACTAAGACTGCTACGAATACTCATACTAATTCTAATACCCATACTCATACTCCATACTAATACTAATACTACTATTCACACTAATACTATTACTAAGTATACATCGCCGCTCCGAAAGTTCCTTGAATTTTCTGAGTTGGGCCCGATGGCCTTGTGTGCTCGCCTACGTTGCACCCTCCTTAGCAATGGTCCCGACGGGGTTGAGGGGCAGGATGCGTTGAACCCCCCCGTCCCCCCCCCCTAGAAGCCTAGCAAGATAGCCCTCT